AAATGTTAATTGACTGACAGACCAGACCATCCCTACATTAATGAAATCACAGGTCCCATATTCCACTCCCACCCTCCCTCAAAAAAAAATCTCATCCTGGAATTCTCTGTGAATTGAGCACATAGTAGAGAGTACCAGAGCTCATGTCTACCTTTACAATAGCCCCAATGTGTTGAGAAAAACATAAAATAGGGGGCTTATGGTGGTTACTTAAATGGCCCACAATCTTTGCACAAGAACAATTCATCCCCTGCTGAGACAACAAAAACAGCCTGACCATTCATCTAGCTGTTGTCTACAAGACTGGGAGCTGAAAGGGACCTTAGTGGTTATCAAACTCCCTTATTTAAGTAGTTTGCTAAGGTCACATAGTTTGACAGAGGTGAAGACAGAATTCAAACCCAAGGTTTTCTGACTCCAAATCCAGGCCTCTTACCACTGCATCCCAATCCAAACATTTTGTAAATAGAGTTTTGGGAGACAGGGATCATAGGAGTTAGTGCCAAAAAGCATCCTAGGCACAATCTATTCCAATGTTGGTCAGATGAGGAAACTGACCTCCCCAGAGAAGGGAGGTCATTTGCCACAGATTATACAAGCAGTAAAAGTAGAAGAGCCAGGAATCCTTCCTATATCCTCTGATGCCAAATACAATATAATTTCCACTCTACCAGGCTGCCTTTCAGGGAATGGATGATTATATAAATATCCTGCTTAGCCTGAGTGCCTCCCACTGTTAGCCTGAGCTCCATAAGTCACTCCTAACCAGAGAAGTGGGACCTTGTACTGAAGCAAGCATCTCCAGCATGTTAAAGAGTCCACCCACCAAATATTTTCTTTCCCTTGAAAATCATTTTGCCGCAACCAGGGAAAATGATGCCAATAAAACGTTTAAGTGAAATGTTTGTCTCTTGGATTCCATAGTGACATTCATCTACACCCACAATCCAGTTTGACCAACCAAGCCACTTTTTTTCTAAAAATTAATTCAACTAAACCCGTTGTTTGAGAGACTTCAGATTATCTTCCGAATTCAGTTTTCATTAGTGTAGTAAGATAAAAATTCTGTCACCCGGAGAGTAATGAAGCAAGGTCACTAAGAAATCACCTATTCCCAACCATCCCTTCTCTGAGACTTAACTCCCAGAACTGACTTACACAACTTCTTAAACTGAGATCAGTTTGTTTCATTTTTAATACTCTGATAACGAATTTCAAAATAATGAGTTTCCTTTGTAATCCTGTGTATTTTATGAACCTGAAAGCATTATCCTGATAAAGGGTCTTTAGGTTTCACAACACTGACAAAGACCTCAGTGACACTGGAAAGGTTAAGAAATTCTGCTCTAGGATCTCTGAATTTCCCATGGATCTTTTTTTGACTCATGGGAATCTTCTGCCAAACTTACATGCAATGGCAAAGCTGTCACCTATGAGTTCTGGCTAAAGATTTTTAGGCAACTACATGGTACAGGGAGTGAATGATAAAACACTGGGCCTGAAGTGAGAAAGACCTGAGTTCAAATCCAGCCTAGACACTTACTAGCTGGATGACCATAGGCAAGTCACTTAACATGTTTGCCTCAGTTTCCTCAACTGTAAAACGGGGCTAATATTGGCACTGACCTCCATGGGTTGTTGTGAGGATCAAATGAGAAAATATTTGTAAAGCATTTAGCATAGTACCTGAGACACGGTAGGCACTCTGTCTATGCTAGTTATTTTTATCTGTGTTAAGTGCATTTTTCAAATTCATTTTTCAAATTCAATTTAACAAGCATCTATTAAACAGTTATGTGCCAAGCACTGTGCTAAGCACTGGAGATACAAAGATAGAAACAAAACAGTTTCTACCCTCTAGTAGCATGCATTCCACTAGTGGGGAGAGAATGGGGAGGGGCAGTATGTGTAGAGATAAGTAAAGGCATACTATATGCAAAGTAAATATAAATGTAATTTATATAAATTATATATGTATATTTATTATATATAAATATATATCATGTAATATATACTATATGTAAATTATACATATATATTTATATAAATAAATGTAATTAGAGAGGGCTGGGAGGGAAAGTCACTAGCAACTGAGGGAGGGGGCAAGGAGCAGGCGAAGCCCTGTGAAGGAGGCGGCAGTGGAACTGATTATTGAAGGAAGCTGAGAATTTTGCTAGAGAAAGGTGAAGAGGGAGCGTTTTCCTGGTCTAAGGATAGCCTGGAAAAAGTCATGGAGGCAGAAGCTAGAATTCCATGTACCATACAGAGATTAGCAAATGGATTAGTTTGGCTTGATAACATGCAGTTAATCTGAAGAAAAACAATTTTTATGCTAAATTTTTTTGGGTGGTGAAGGAGCAGGGAAGGTGTTTTATAATTATTGCTAAACTTGTTTAGAGAATATTTTTTATCTTTTTTTAGTGATAGGACTATATTCAGATAATAGGATAATGGAAAGCTTTCTTTTAAGTGTAAACTGATTAATTCATTACAGATTAATTCATTGTCAGTTATTTAAAATATCCTGGAATCCCTAAAGACTCCAATTAAGCCCAAATTAGCCTTGTTGGAGCTTGACCATACAGGGGTTCTTAACCTGAGTCTGTAACCTTTGGGGGTTTTTTAAAAAATATTATGATAATTGAATTTGAATATAATTGGTTTCCATTGTAATATTATGTGTTTTATTTTATGAATTTAACAACATTGCTCTTAGAAGGGGTCCATGGGCTCTACCACATTGCTAAAGCGCGCACACACACACACACACACACACACACACACACACACACACACACACACTAGAAGATCAGGTCATGCTTACAACTTCAAGCTGCATCCATATAATTTGGAAATATTCCTAACATTCTACTTTTATGTAGCTTCTTTTTGTATCAGAGGGGTTTCTTTTCCACTGGTTTATCACCTTCCAAAATATCTGTAGCAAAATGAGCTTCCTATGGAAAATTCCATATTTGGTTGGAATAGCCCCTACTTATTCAAAAATTCTTCATCAGAATAAATCTTTATTTTGACCCTTTCAGCTGCTCCTCGTGACTGCCAGCATAAGGACAGATTACAAATTAGGGCAGCTGGAGGATGCTTTCTTCTTTCACTGAGTTCCTAGGATCTCAAGCTTAGCACTAAGTGCTGCTTCTGATTAGCAACACCGAGGGTTTCTTTAATAATGAATGAATGATCTTCTACAAAAGACTAAAGGTCATTGTCAATTTTTCTCAATTTCTCGTGTTGCTGTTTTCTAAAAATTGTCTGATCTCCTTGTTGTTCCGGCTAAACAAACCAGCTTAAGCATGCCCTAGTATTTTTTTTAATTAAATCACTGTCCCTTAAATTATAAGTCGTATTTGACAAGATTTTTTTCTGGCTTGTTCCCCCTCTAGAAACTGAACACTTTAAATGACTAATCACTTTCCCCCAAATCTTGTGTGTATGTTTGTGCCTGCATGTGTGTGTGCCTGTGTTTACAAGCTGTGACTGCCTGTCTCCTTTTCTAAACAAAAGTCGGTTTGATGTCACAGCCGCAGAAGTTGTGGATTGTGATGAAAACATTGAGAGGATGCAACTGAACGTGTCATGTGCATTTGGCCTTGGAAATTCACGAGTTGTAAATGGAGATTCCATGCTGGAAGGGGAAAAAATCTATCATTATACCTGAATTTTATGAATGAAATTGCTGATTTCTCTAAGACATTTGAAGAAATGGTCCTCTTCTGGGCTCGGACAGCAATTCTGTTGTTGAGAGTTTTAATTAGTTTCTTCTTTCAGAATTTGGATTGTAAGGGTTTTTCCTTTTTGATTTGTTTGTTTTTGGTTTGGGAACTTGGAAAGGGAGAATGTTATTTTTTTAATTGGGGATTTTTTAGTCTTTCAAAAGGATTTTCTTTCATTCTAAAAAGAAGGTTACCAATTAGCCTTTGACAAGAGGTTCATGACAAACTTTGCAATCATTTACCAGATCTTTTGTGCAGTCGGATTTATCTAGTGCTTCATCTAGGCTTGTCCCAGTTCAGACTCAATACTTAAAAAGTCCTATTTTTAAAAATGCCATTTGTTTGGTCTTAAGATGACTATATTTGCAAACTATAAGGTGGAGTCCTACTAGTAGTTTCTTGGTAACCCAAACTGTCTGCAAAATCAGCCAATTTCTAAGAAAGACCATGGCCTGGGATGCTGAGCCCTTTACTTCATATGTTGCTCAGAAGGCATATATTGGCCTGAAAATATGTTCCATTTCATTTCATCTCACACGGAGTAATCCTTAATGAAACAGCTTGTGCTTCCAATAAATGGAAAATCCCAAAGCATTGTCTTTTGTCTTTGTATCTTTAGCACCCAGCACAATGTTTGGCATATAGTTGGCACTTAAAAAAAAACACTTGTTGATTGATTTATTGATTGTTAAAATGTTAGAGATAGTGGTTAAGGTTAAATTTATCGGCTCATGTATCTATTTTTACATTTGTGAAATAATACACCACGGATGCTTTAGAAACCCATGAGCTGTTCTCCAATGAATAGATGGAGGGAGGGAGGGAGAGAGAGAGGAACAAAAAATTAATTTGATCATCTGTAATTGCAGATTGAAAATTGAGCCTTTTTAAAAGCTGTTACACAGAGCTCAACATGAAGCCTGTCGCTTTGGGTTCTGTAATATGTGTGTGAATGTGTCACCAAGTAACCTGGAAGCGCTGTGTCATCTGCCAACATCTGTACGTGAATGGGAATTTCTAGCAGAGTATACACTAACACTAGGCTCAAGTTGACAAAAGAATGATTTTGACAAATACTGGAACGGAGGAACATCATATAGGCCCAATAGATGTCCATGTGCTTTTTATAAAGCAGGCTGGTCATTTGAGGAAGTCCTGGCCTTTCAAAAGCTACAGTTTCTTCCTGCCGTAGATTTGACTTAATAATGTCAGATTGGGAGTTTTCAGTCGTTTGTTTCATGGCCTGCATTTGTTTGCTTTTTCCTCCAGGCCTGATGGAATAGGAACTGTGACAGTTGAAGAAAAAGAACGTTTTGAAGAAATCAAAGAAAGACTCCGAGTTCTTCTGGAAAATCAAATCACACATTTTAGGTAAAGCATTAATTACTTTTGTGGTTGAGGGGGAATAAAGGCTCTTGTGACACTCCTTGTGTGACCACCTCAGTTTACTCATCTGCCAAAAGAGGAGATCGTACTCGGTAACTTGTGAGGTCCTTTCTAGCCCTGGTTTCTATGATCCTATTAGGATGCTAGGGCCCAGAGAGGCCCATTGATCAGAGATATATTATTGGTTGGGCAAAGACAATCATCTTATAAGGATGTAAGGAGTAATCAGGAGATAGAGCAGGATGAAAGAACTCCAGCTCATATTTTCTCACACATCTATCAGGTTTACGTCTATTGAATGTCCAACTCTTTTACCAAACAGGCTGCCTTAATTCAATCGTTGCTATTGTGTCCGACTCAGGTCTTCGTGGCAGAAATAGTGGAGTGGTTTGCCATTTCCTTCTCCAGCTCATTTTACAGATGAGGAAACTGAGGCAAACAAGGTAAAGTGAATTGCCCGGGGTCACACAGCTAGTAATCGTCTCAGGTCAGATTTGAAGTCAGGAGGATGAGCCTTCCTGACTCCATACCCAGCACTCAATCCACTGCGCTGCCCTCAGCTCAATTACTCATCAACAATCAAATTTTTTCTCGCTCTCTAAGAGTCCACTTAATTCAATTTAATTCAACAAGAATTGTATTAACTTCTGCTTCATTCCAGGCACTGTGCTAGGCACAAGAGATAGAAAGACAAAAATTAAACAGTCAGATGCTGGCTTCTGAGAGTGCACGTTCTCCCAAACAGGAATGACATGTTTAAATATGAATCAATACAAAAGTCCAAACAATACACAGCAAATTTATGGGGGAAGCACTAAGTGCCGGTGGAATTCAGAAAGAACTTTTGAAGGAGGCAACCCTTGAGCTGATTCTTGAGGGGAGCAAAGGATTCTAGGAGATGAAAAGGAAGTGCATCCCAAGCACAGAGGACAGTTTGGCAAAAGCTTGGAGGTGGGAGACTGCATATCATGTACAAGAAACAGCAGCTAGGTCATTTTGGTTCGAGCAGAAAATGCACGGGAAAGATTGAAGCAGAAGCAGCCAGAAAACATAACTTGTAGCCAAATTGTGAAGGGCTTAAAATACCAAATGGAGGAGTTTTCATTTTATCTTCAAGGCAATAGGAAGTGAATAAGGCTTCTAAAACAGGGAAGCCATGTAGACCTTCCCTTTAAGAAGATCATCTGGAGAAGTTACGTGGAGGTTGAATTAGAGAGGGAAGAAGGCTGGATGCAGGGAAGCCAATTAAGCTATTGCGATAGTTCAGGCAAGAAGTGATGAAATCCCAAACTGGACTGGTGGCATGTGGGGGGTGGGGAAAGAAAGCAAATGTGAGAGAGGTTGTCAAGGTATGATTTAAAAAAAAAGACTTGACACTCAAAAATTATATGCAAATTATGTCAGTCCTTCATTTTGCCTCATATGGGGATACTAACCTGTATTCTGTATCCTGATCACAAGCCTGTAAAGGAGAAGAGTCATCTCTGTCCCCGTGATGGTTTTCCCTCTCTCCATCCAGAAATCTGTCTCCCCATTCAGGAACAAACAGCGCACAGCCTAGTTATGTGGTTAGGCAAATCCAAGGAGGGGATAAGAAATATACCTGTCTCCACAGCTTGTAGGTTTCCCCCAACTCATAAGATAGCCAGCCAGCCAGCCAGCCCAGCTCTTTTGGCAATGGAAATGCAACAGTAGACTCACAGGGCATAGGCTGCTTCCTGAGGCAACATGAGCATTCCAGGAGGCTGCAGAATATGTTTCAGAATATTGGGCTTCCAGGAAGTCAATTACTGTGCCAGTGCACTCAATGGCTCTTGGTGACATGAAAGTCACCGGAGTTTTCAAAAATGCCTAACTTGCTCCCAGAGAGCATAGCATTAGCCAACATTTATTCAGCACCAGATGTATGTAGGGCATGGTGCTGTGCAGCAAAGGACCAAGCGCCAATGAGCAAAATAATGAATTAGATGGGAACACCTAAAAGATCTCTATGGGCTCCATCATGCTTTATGAGTTTCCTTCAAGACTCAGTTCACTTCCTCCATGAAGCCTTTAATAACTCTTCTGGTTATTAAGGGTCTCTCCTGCCTCAGTTAGCTTTTCCATGCTTTTCTGTATACAAGTTGTCTCCACCAGAAGAATGGAAGCTCATGGAGAGCAAGGGCGTTTTCTTGTTTACTTTTGTCTCTGTATCCCCATTTCCTAGCACTGTGCCTTGAACACAGTAGACACTTCATAGATATTGGCTGATTTTGTTCTTGAGCATGTATCTCTATTGTCCAGGTTAGTTCTTTTGTTTTCCACGTAAGATGCACTACTTGGCTAAAGGGGCAGCTAGGTGGCTCAGCAGAGACAGTGCTGGGCATGGGGTCAGGAAGATGCATCTTGCTGAGTTCAAGTCTTGCCTCAGACACTTCCCAGCTGGAAAAATGTGGCCAAGTCACTTAAACCTGTTCGCCTCAGTTTCCTCATCTATAATATGAGCTGGAGAAGGAAATGGCAAACCACTCCAGTATATTTGCCAAGAAAACCCTGAATTAGGTCATGAGGAGTTAGACATTACCGAAGGGACTGAACACCACCACGAACAACAACAACACTTAGCTAAAGTCAACAGTGGTTGGAGGACTGAATGGATTTTGCCGAGTTCAACAAATCCCTCCCAACGTTAACACTTGTAACCAATGCTTAAGGTCTTACCGAAGCTATCAAATGATTATCCCTTCACCATAGAGGCATAAAACAAACCTTGTTTAATTTACTGATTATTTCCTACTGCAGACAAGCCTGCCAGTCAGCCTTCAGTCATTTTACACACACACACACACACACACATCCTGTGCGATTCGGTATTAACATAACATAATGTGACAGATTAAAGCATTTTCAGCGCCTCCGAAGGAGTTGCTATAGGAATCAGATTGTAGGACTCTCATATCTTGGTGCTAATTATCACATGTATTTGTGCTGCCTAAAAAATCCATGTCTCTTTCAGGTATTGCTTTCCATTTGGCCGACCTGAAGGCGCGTTAAAAGCTACACTCTCTCTTTTGGAAAGGGTAAGAGTGACAGTTCAAGACAGGTTGGATATCTAAGGTACAAGAGCCTCATTGTAATAGAATATTATTGTCAAATGATTTTATTTATGAGCTGAATGCTGTATAGATTATACCAAGCATCTGGGTGAAAATTGAAAGACAGACCCAATTCCAGATGCTTTAACAACAAAATCTCAAACATCTGGGTATCTTTTTCCTCCTCAAGCTTGCCTACATATGATTAACATTAGGCTTAACCCAAATTTAAACAAAATAATGATTTCTTGGTGAGTTTATTTTTTCTGTTATGTGGATGGACTTTTGCATCTTACTTGTGCATGGTAGTAACATTTTAAAAATAATTCTAGTGCTACTTTGTAAGTGACTATGGAAAATAAATTATGTACCTTTCCATGGAAACTTTTCAAAGCTTCTATAGATCTGCAATCTCATCAGTATGGTTTCTCCATCCATCCAACTGTGCAGATCACAATCCACACATGCCTTCTCATCTCGGTATATTCTTACTCATCTCCTCTCATAATTCCTCACTGGGAGGATACACTCAAGTTTTGAGGGCCTTCCAAGTCTAGGCCTTTTACAATTCTATAGGCACCGGGGCAGCCAGACCTTGAGCTGTTCATCCGTTATCCCTCATTCATACATTATGAATTCACCTCCTTTCCTGGTCACACATTTCCTGGGTCCAGCAAATATTATGCCACTTTTTGCACATAAGTCATTCTCTATTATGGGAATATTAGCAATGGAATCAATGTAGAACCTTGTGCAGCCACACCCATGCCCAGTAAGTTCCAATTCCCAATTTTCTTTCAGAAATGTGATTGAGTAATGCATGTGAATTCCCTTCTTGCTCTCCCTTTTTTCCCATCTGAAGGTTTTGATGAAAGACATTGTTACCCCAGTGCCACAAGAGGAGGTGAAAATGGTCATCCGTAAATGCTTAGAGCAAGCCGCGTTAGTCAACTATACTCGTCTCTCAGAGTATGCCAAAATTGAAGGTAAGGCTACCAGTCTCAGACTAAAATTTTGATATGTTCTCTTGGGAAAATTTGTGACTGCCGGGTATTTAATTCTACACACACACACACAAACACACCCTCCACAGTTATAAAGCTCCTACTATGTGCAGGGTGATGCACTAGACTAGGAAGACAAAGACAAAAATGCAAAACAATCCCTGCCTTCAAAGAGCTTACATTCTCCTGAGAAGGGAGGTGGAGAGGAGCTACAACATATAAATAGATAAATAAGTAATGACATAATCCGAGATGGAAAAGTGTTCTAACTGAACATAGTGAATCGACAATTAAACTCACCTGACAAATGACATGATGCTTGGTTGTAGTTGAATAAAAGATCAAAAGCCTGAAGTTTAAAAAAAAAAAAGCCAGTTTACTGGAAAAAAAAGGGGGCAGATGGAATTAACAGAAAATATGAGGCGAATGAAGTCTCTTCTAAGGTTGGGTATGTTTGGCATCAAATACCTGCCCTGTGAAACATTTAGGATTCACAACCTTTGTTACCCGAAAGAGTGGAGTGGGTGACAGATGACCACCAGTAGTGTCCAAGAAAAAGGATAAATGAAGGAGGCAACATCTCAACTCTGCTTTCACTAGTTCTCATCCCTTGAAAGTGTCTCACTCTTGTTGGTGTTTCTAAATATTTTTACATAATGACAATAGATGATCTAGTTCTCAGATGGTTTCAGGGTTACATTGAACCTCTTTCACTCTGGGCTTCCCAATCTTTGGGTGGTTGAGACCACAAGGCCTTTAAAGTCAGTGATAAATATCCATCACTGACCATCTAATCATGCCTTTAAGTAGATCTGATCTGTGGAGCTATGGTTCTCTGGGCGGGGTGGGAGGCTCCGAGTCCCAAAGGTATAACTAACTTCTCATTGTTACCTTGTCGGCTGCTAGAGGGAGATTTGAAAAAGCCCACCCAGCTTGATGGATGTGTAAGTGTATCAATGTGGAAGCTCTGTGTGCAAAACTCAATGTGCATTCTGGATTCAGACTTTTTTTTTTCTCACATGTGAAACATGGCAACTGACTAGAGCAAGCAAACCCACATTGTTTGCCTTCAGGACTTAAAAAAAAAAAAAATTAACTGACCAACCTCCTGCCAGAGTCCTTGTTTCCTTAGAGAATTAGGTAAAGATTGTGTCAAATTTTCAGTGTTCTGTACATTACATGTCCTCCCTTTTTTCAATTTTGTCTGTCTGACAATGCAAATTGTGTACCAGTGGTAATGAATTCATTGTTATGCATCCAGTGAGAAACACTTAAGAATTGGGCACTAAAAGGATGTTTATCAACTCTTGACTTGGTAATGAGTGACAAAAATAGAGGAGGAGGAAGAAGACGGACCGTTTCAGTGCTGTATGATCAGCTGATTTTGCCAGCGTTCACCCTCACAGGAGATGACAGTTGGTTGTATTCAACTGAAATGGGTAACCAGAGTAGGCGAGAATGGAACAAGACTTGGATCCCACCCAGCATTGGTATCACGGCAGCTGCCTCCCTCCGTAGGTCTTGGTTGTAGATAGTACTAACCTTTCAGTAAGATCTGCTCTCTTCTTTCAGATAAATCTATGCCCCCTCCCTAAAATAAATGAATAAATAAAGCAAACTTTAAGATCTGTAAGTAAAAATGCATTCATTTCCAAAGTAGACCAGCTAGTTTCTCCTTTTCCTTTTGTGCCTCAATTCTTCTCGGTTGTGTTAATTATCTTTTGCACTGTGACTTTTAGGTCTGGGAGTACTTTGAAGCAACAAATCCTTTTTTTCCAGCTCTCTTTTCAGAGAAGTACTTCATTCCACACTACCCACTCTCTCTTGCTTCTCTCCTTCCTTGTCCGGGATTGGCTCAGCCACTTTTCTATGTGACCTCTATAAAAAGTGGTTGTGACACCAATTTCAAAGCATGCTGGGATTGTTAACTCCAACAACCCAACATCCACCAGCTGCATGCACTAGGTTTTCTTTCATGAGCATAGTCCACTGTGCGCGGGCACGTGGCAAACTCAAAAATATTACTACCGTGCAACTTTCCTTTACAAACACCTATTTTTGCCAGCAGGGGAAAAAATACCACCTTAAATTTGGATACTCAAGCATCTCCTACTGACTTGCAAAGCTCTCGCTAATGACAGAATTTTGGAATGAAGTTGTAGTAATATTGCTGGTGACTATGTTTATGAAGAAATACCTCAAGAGCCTTAGATACTAAAGTCTGAAATCCTTAGTATCTCGGAGCCTTAAACCAATGAGATCCTGTTTCCCTTTATCCATGATGTTTCGGTCATTGTATTCTTGCAAACGATTCCAAAAAGACTTGTACAATCGTGGTCACAGCCTCTCTTGTGACTCGTGGCATGCTGAATGGTTAATCCAGTAGATCTTCGATTTTAAAATTCCTTTTTCTTTTATCCTGTGTTTATCCCAAAATACTCTGTGGCTATTTTCCTTTTGAGCTAATGTAACGTTTTCCTCTGACCTGTGACCTTTAACCTCTTTACCTCTGACCTAAGCCTCTTGCATGCCCAAATCCTCTTTTATAGGGAAAAAGAGAGAAATGTATGAGCATCCTGTCTTCTGCTTGGCCTCTCAAGTGATGGATTTAACCATTCGTGAGTACCTACCACCTCCTTTCCATGCTGTCTTCACTCTTTCTGTTTTCATTACCTCGAGACAATTCAGATCCAAACCAACTCACTTTCCTTGCTTCAAGTCTTTTAGCATTTGGCTTGTCTGTTGGTTCTGTCTGTGAAACCCCAGTGTGAGAAGTCCGGTCACTTTTTATCAGCCTAAAACCAGGTTAGACAATTAAGCCATCTGTTTGTGATAAACTCCGATTTGTCTGTAAGTTTTTTTCTGTTGTTCTATGTCTGTGACCTGAATGCATTTTTACTTTGCTTCTGTGTAGTCCCAGTTTGTAAAGTACTTGTCACTGGTACACAATCAGAAGGTAGCAGCTGCACCGGGGAGCAATGAGTGAGGGGCTAGAGGAAGGACAGTAGGGGCAAGTCTTGCCTTTCTTTTCCACAAGTAAGATCTCAGAACAATTCTGGGTCCAAGAGTACATAAAGTAGTCCTTTCTCTGCCTACGGTAGCTCGTAGCGCACACATGCCTCCTGTCTGTTATCTCTCAAACTCAGTCGCTTGTCCTTATTCTCTTTAGACTGATTACTCCTGTTCCTCCAAGCTCCGGCTAGAACATATGACTTAATTGTCACATAGAAAGTTCCGTGTGTGTTTCATAGCTTAATTCCACATTGATCTTGATTTGACTAATTTTCTATTTGTGCAGCATTTTCCACCTCTGTGAAGGAGCCTTTTTTGCTGATCCCCATACTTCAGGGCGGTGGGAATCCAGGGGGCAACTTTTTTCTTTCGAATGTCATATATCACACATAAGTGGGGGGCATTTTGGTCCACTTGTTCATTAATTCTGCGTATCTGTTCTTATTTCTCTCTTCTCTCCTTGCTCTCTCTCTCTCTCTCTCTCTCATAGAGAATCAAAAGGACACAGGTGAACAATTGTATATGCATTATAAACTAAAGAATTATATTTAGTTTATTTTTGTATTTTCTTTTTATCTGGCTCCTTAAGTTGTACACTCCTAGAAACTGAAGTGGAGTTACAATAATGCTTAAGGAGTTAATTTGTGCTGTCTCAACACACATCATACCCCTTAGCTGGTGACCTTCTAGAGAACTTCGATAAAGGCATAAACGTCAAAGGAACAGAATTTCTCATTTTCAATGGAACATCATTACATTTTGGGGCAAACATTTTATTGATCTGGCCTCATGTGGTCATAATTGCTTTCAAGGGCTACTGAATCAAATTAATCCTCATTTTTATTTTCCATTTTTTTCTTTTCTTGTATTCTGACCTATCGAGAAGTTTATGTTACTCAGTAACTGTGTACTAGAGATGAAGCCAGAGGAGACGTGTTTGTGTTATTGTCCTTTGTAATGTGTGGGAGGATAGAATTTACTAGTAGGTAGAAAATGGATGTAAATTGCTTGAGTAGTTTGTCTTGGTGGCCCATGCTTTCCACTGTTTTTGTTACTCTTCCTTGTGGGGCAGCCTTCTGGGAAGCTCTTTGTTTAACACCTCTGAGTAGATTGAAGTAGATAAAGGAAGATCCTGACTTCAAGCTATTGTCAACAGTAGAAGAAGTGTGACCTGGTAGAATAACCGATTCAAATCCCACTTATCACTAGCTGTGTGACCCTGGGCAAGTCACTTATAATCTCTGTGTGCCTCAGGCAATTCCCTAGCATTTATCTACTAATTCTTTGACAAGTTGTAACTTTCTACAAGCTAATGATTCCCATTCCCTTCATGCGTTTGTATTGTTGGAGAGGCAGCTAGGAGGAGTGGATAGAGTTGCTCTTGGAATCTGAAAGACTTGGGTTCAAATTCTGCCTTTGACACATACTGGGCAAGTCAATTACCTTTATAAAACCCTAATCAACTCTGTAAGACTTTGAATTGCAAAGAAGGGGCCAATCTGTTTTAGTGGAGGGAGTTAATGATTCACTGGGAGCTCCTCAAACCAATGAAATCTCAGATCCTATCAAATATATCTGCATCATATGTAATATATCATGTATAATATATAACACAGAATTTTTGTTAACCTTTTCAATCTTCATGAATTTAGCAAAGGAATATATTAACTTATATAAAGATGATAAAACTTCATTAACTATATTCCTTTGGAGGAAAACTTCATAGTGAGCAGAGCACATTTATAATCCCATTCGTTGCATGCTAAGGGGCCCAGGAATTCAAAAACAGTTGAATGAGTATGGATCTTGTCCGTAGTCATTTAGAATATTGCCTTTTAGATGGTCCAATGCTTACAGTTGGTTTCTTAAATGAGAGGTGGAAAACTTCCTATGGAATATTTCTGTGGAACCAATTCAAGGCCTTCTTCCCGCTAGCAAAAGAAGATTTCTGAGAGCTAGAAATGAGGATT